TACTTTATTAAGAATCAATATTGGAAGAATCTTTGAGTTATTCAATGAATATTAGTTGTCGTCATACGTTGATTAGAAAAAGAGTAGTTTCTTTTGGAATATTACCGTTATTATTCAAGTTTTTTTCACGGTAATGAACGTATACTGGTAAATATTGGTTAGAAATTATTTATTTTCACTGAATAAATGAATATTTTAAAGTGAAATGTTTTTAATTTGCTACTGAGATTAATTTTAACCGGTTAAATAAATCAGTAGAAATGAAGATTATTTTCCAGAAGATTCGTTAGTTCTCTATTATTTTAACATGCGTTGAATCTGTTCAGCTCGTGAATATAGAATAAACACCTAATAGATTATGATTGGCTCTAAATTCAATTCAAAAACAAGAGTGTTCCAACTGTGTAACAAATCTGACACCTCAAAAAATGATGACATTTTGAAATGGGAATTCGCCCAAAATAATGAATCCAAAATTATTCAATTGTAACCAGTGTGAGTTAATACAGAGCCAAACTAAACAACGAGAATAAAGTATGTGAAACGTGCAAACAGAAACTAGATACACTATTGAGTGGATAGTATATACTGAACAGTGTAACTGACTAATTTGTAATATACTACTTTTTGGATGTAATTGGGTTTTGTTTTCCTGATCGTACAAATCTGTGTAACCTGAAACTTACAACCTAGTTGTTAAATGTTATATACTTGTTAGAAATTAAAGATAATAAATCCGAATCTGCACATTATTTACTATCAAATTTTTCTTTCATCGTACACACCTTATTTTCAAAATGAACACTAATGCTTCCAGTGTTACATCTTGAATTCGAACTCCAACCCATCTACTTCGATTTTTCTAGCCATGTATTGTTGGTAGTCACGATACGAAAAATATAGACCGAATATGTGTACATCAACCTGTATATCGTTTCTGAGTTTTGTTTAAGAAGCGATTCTAGACTTAGTCTGTGGTTAAAGACCATAGATGCCATGTCCCTGATTTGTTTTCAGTCCCTTAAATGCATTCTTGACCTCTCTGAAATTTAAGTTTAGTGCTTTTTTGTACATTGTATTCTCTGATTGCAGTTCTTCGTTTCGAACAAGATTTCTTATTAGTGACGGTTTGTAATTTATCGTTGTTGGTATTAAAATCGCGCTCGTACAGCACTTATGCCGACCGTTGCTGCTACCTTAACGTGGTGGTCGGGCTTGCCTGTCGTAATGAACCAATCGCTCTTATCATGCCAGACAAGTCGGTTGAAGAGCGGTAAGACTAAAAGCAACAAAACTAAGGTCCGAAGGCGAAGTCGTACTTCTGACTGTACAGAGATGTGACGGCAGTAAGGTGTTTCCTTCAGACAACCAGCATAACAACGACGCTACCTTCCCATAAGGAGGGGTAGGTTAGAAAAGGTCGACCCTAAAAATCCACACCTCTCCTTATCCCATTGATTTCCGTCTCTGGCGGTAAGGTCTCAACAAGTACGGTGCTAACACGAAAACTACTCACAATAAGGTCGTGTATGACCAACTTCAAGCAGTTATCTCTTGGGTATTGCTGTCATGTTCTCAGATCACTAAGACCACTTCCTACCAAATTTCCTTTTCAGGTACCTCTAGAGGAACCCTTCCACAGTGTGGGCAACCGGGAACTGATAACCGCCCTCATACCTCTAACAACAATCAAGACCACTGTTTTCATAATCAACCTCCTTATTCAATTCCTATTATTCCTCCTACATCGACTCTCAACACTAAACTTCCTCTTTTGGCTTCTTCAGAAAGCTAAGCACTCAGACATATTAATTGTAGCAGGTGATTTTAATGATCAGGTAGGTAGAAAGACATTTAGGTGGGTGTTTTAGTATTCCAGCCCAGCGAACAGATAATGATGATCTGCTGCGACTTGCTCAGACAGTCGTTTATTTTTAGCAAGCACCAATTTTAAGCATAAAAAGACATCGTCTTGATCATGGAAGAGACATCGTCTAAAATGGCGACCGCCTGCACCAAACCAACGGTGGACTCATATAGATCATATTATCATCAGTCATCGTTGGAGAGGGTCGAAAGAAGACTGTCTCTCGTTCTGGAATACCCGTTTGGACTCCGTTCATTCTCTAATACGAGCACGCATTTGCTTGCGCCTCGCTGAACACACAAAAACCACATTAAGAAGACTCGTTACAGTTTAACCCAGTGAGGAGATAGTCAAAAGTAGATTCCAGGAAAAACTGAGGTCAGCTGTGGAAAAAGCAGTGACATGTATCAGTGTTTTTAACCAAGGAATCACGAAAAACCAATGGATTTATTCTAAGTCTATTGCACTGATAGATTCTCTTAAATTCATCCCATCAGGCTCTGAACACGATGAAGAGCGAAAACAAGTCAGATATAAGTTAACCAAAAGTCTAAGGAACGACCTTGAGCAGTGGTGGGCAACGAAAGCAAAAGAGATGGAAAAGGCGGCGGCTATAGGGAACACAAGACAGCTCTACAGACTAATAAAAGAAACTGGAATTAATAAGTCAAGTGTAAGTCAAACTATTTCGGAAAAGGACGATACTCATCTGCTCCCAGTCCAGACGTTTAGGACGATGAGTGGAACATTTTAAGGAGCAGTTCAGCTGGCCTTCAGCTACTCTACAACTACCCACCATTCCCAGACAGTGTGAATGGAACATTGAAGTAGGCCCCCGACTCTAATTGAAATTCAAAAAGTTATAACTAATCTGAAACGAGGAAGGGCAGCTGATCCAGATGGATTAGCTGCAAAGGTCTTTAATGATAGTGGTTCAGTTTTAGCGATTAGGTTGACTAATATTTTATCTAAAATCTGGGAGTTGGATGTAATCTCATCTGACTAGTCGCTATCACTTATTGTCCCAATAAATAAGAGAAGATCAAAATCATCCTTTGATAACCATAAAGGGATTAATTTGGTTAATATAGCATCTAAATTGCTAGCTTGAATGATCATCGGACACTTAACAAAGACCACAAAGCGCAATGCTGACTCTTTTGAAGACGGTTGAAAGAAAGTTAGGACGGCCAAACCAAAACGTGGCGTCAGTCCTTCGTTTCACTAACTTCTGCTCTGAGCCATGTTGGTAGATTTAGATTACTTGGTTGGGTTCCGCGCGACTATCGCAACCAATGGTTGGAGACTCTGGGTGACATAGCTCAGAATCTATCACAGTGGCGTCGGTGTATACACATTTTGTCTTCCCTCAAACTGTGAGATTACAATTGCTTTATATGTTTCTTTCTGTGAACTAATTGTTTCTTCATGTATTATATCCTTATATGCAATCTTTCTTTAATATATTTTTAGGGGCCCGTAGCTTGATTTTGTCCTCATCTAGATCGACGATATTCGTTGGAGGGCCCACCACTTTTGTGGCCCGTTGAATCTGACTCCTTTTTAGATTGTTCAAATATTTGCTATCGCTGATTCTCGTATATCATCGTCGACTTAAATCGCGTTATCCAATAACGGAATTAAATAAGTCGAATAACGAGAATTGACTTGAGAATACATATATTTCGTACATGAAGCGAATGAAACATAGCAAAGCAAAATGACACGCAGGGAAGACGGCTGGGAAGCCAACTCCATTTTAGTAAAGCGTTACTCAATATTTATAGTCAGACAAAATAAAGCTACAGACATGTGATTAATAAGATAAGAAGGGCACACACATATACGCTCATATAAAAACAGTCTAGATTGATAAGCGAATAAATAACAAGGTCAATGTATGGCTCAAGTAAAATGAATAGAGTGTGATGTCCGAAAGCTCGAATAAGGTATATGGGCTTGGCATAATAACTGACACTACATATTACAACCATTGAAATAACTACTTGTATGAATTCGGTGTTAACCTTGTTGTGCTATTGAGTTGTGGCAACTTGGACCGATGTATATTTGTACGTGGTCCTACTTTGTAGCTGATTAACTGACTTAAGAACTTTGACCGATTAATCTTTTTCGATATATATGCATGCTGAACAGTTTGCTTTGAAGAACCTTTACTCACAAGTGACGGTTTTCTCGGTATGTGGCTAGCAGTGAAATTTAAAACGTGCGTTCATCCTATTTGTGAGTATTCATCTTGATGTACCTAGATCCTAGTGTTGATGTCCACAGTGAAGTCGAACTCCAGAATTTCTTGGTTTACACACGCCCTACCTTCTAATTTACTGGGTTCTAGTAGCTCAGTGGATAATGCGTTAGCGTTTGCACCAGAATACTGTGTTTGATTCTTATATTATGTTTATCTTTCTCTTATTATCATCTTTTCCTTCTTTCAATTTTCACTCATCGGGGTGATTCCAACTTTGGTAATATAAGCGTGTAAATTTTGCTGCTCGGTCCCATATTGTTTACAACTCAATCACAACTTATTTTACAAAAGTCTTTTTTTAAACTTGACCTAATATTGAATTTCAATTTATGCATTTTGCAATTACATGCAAACTTAATAGAAGTCAAATCGTTTAGTAGGACAGAGACGTTACATCAATAGTTTTGTCATCATAGTGATTATTAAGCAGGTTAAGTGTGTAGACAATCCTTCCATTCTTATACATCACTGAATACAATCATCACCGTTCCTCTCTTATTTGCAGTTACATTTTCATTTCACCCTCCATTTTTTAGTCACGTTTGCTCCACAGGAATAATTTAATGATTTTTATCATACATAATGGAATTTACTGTTAAATTCACCAAATCAAACATTCAATTCTTTTCTCTGAGTAAACAAATAAATTCATTTTAAGCATTTTACAAAAATATTCATGTCATTTTATATTATGTCCTTATTAGAACAAAATTGTACACTTTCCGATTCAGGTTTATTCACTTGTATAGTTTTTGTATAAAAAAACCCATTTTAACTGTAAACCAATTTGTAAATTGATTAAATTTATGCTGTTTTTGTTTTGTATGTGTTCATGGCATATATTTCTCTTCATGTATGTTACAGTTTCGTCGGTGGTTTATGGCATATGGAACTTTCTAATAATTTTTTGGTTATACCACGTGGTCCATCGATAAATCAATACTACTCTTCCACTCAGTTATGCTTTAATATCCAACTTTTTGGAGTTCACTTATCAGAGTGTTTATTTCCTAGTCAAACCATCACGACAACAAAGAAAACAAATGAACTGAGGACACAAAATATAAAATTGGAATCATTTGAAGTTAGTTTAGCTAAAGTTCTTAATTTTTTCGATCTAAAATTGTGTAATAATTTGTTTTCATTCACAACACACTTTACACTAGTAATAATAATACTTTTCAAAACGATATTAGACATATCACACATGAATTTTGATGATATGACAGTTAGATCACTTGTAAGGGAAATTATGTTTTTGTCTGACAAAGATACTCTCGTTTAGAAAACATTTTCAAACTTGCTGATTCTAATGTTCAGTCTATACTGTAGATTTTGTAGCAGTCAACTTTAAACCGTACTGTAAGCAGATTTTTCCATAGAAATTCGTACACACATTTTTTTTTACTTTTTAACTGTAATGTTTAAATGAGTTGTTAGAAAATTTATCGTGCAGTCACTTTCGTCAGTGTCTCACTACTGTAGACTAAAATAAGAAATGTAATCAATACCACGACCACGCAATCAGGTAATGGCTTCAAATTAGTATGCTATATTCCCTACTTACTGTTGTGTTGGAAGAAACGTAAGGTCGGTTTTACCACAATCAGATATTAATTCTTAGTGCTATTTGCTTAGGGGGATGTACATGCTTCCTGACTGGTGTGTGCATAATAACCATAATATATTGCTGAAAGTTATCAGTTTCATGTCTTAGAATTAATTGTCATCAAACAACTGCATTCACTCTACTATCGTCACCTGAATCGTATTCTTTTTTACTTTTCATTATCGACTCCTTATTTTCTCAACTTATCATCTTTTACCATACACTATTGTTATGATCTTCATTCGTCTAGTTTTTTTCTCATTTATTTCATATTCGTTTGTTAATTATGGTGTGATAACGTAAAACGGTACACGTATGTCCCAGGTCCTGATTTACAACTGACTATCTATATGATTAGTAGCAGCTAATTCTTTGGTTTGTGGTGTATTATATGTATCCGTATGATATCAGTCAGATTCCTCCTAGTTTCCTACGCTTGTTCACTATCCTGAGAAAATTTTATAATTCCGGGACTTACCAGTTGTGTGTGTGAGATTTAAGTGAAATACAATTTAGTGGGATACCAAAGTCAATAAGAATAACGTAGTTCTAGTTTCTTTTCAAATTAAATCGCTTTGTTATTTTTTGGTTTAATAGACTAGAAATTTTTTAGAGAATAAAACTCAAGTCATCATCAAACGTGTGGTAAACTCAGTCAGACGTGATGCAATCGTTTACATGCCGTTCAGGTTTTCGGTGAAGCATGGATCTTCTTTTTTTAATAATAATTACGTTTATTGCATAGTGCGTTTTGCTAACAACTGATTTGAAACTTGGTTTCAACGAAATGCTTTTTGACTCACCTCTGAATGGTAGGGTGATGTAGACAGGTTTTTCGGTTCCGAATTTGTAGTAGATGTCATATACTATAACCATCCCATCGATTTATAAATTCTATAGGATAACCGTTCTCCATCAATGTTTAATTCAGTAACCTCACTTCATCATCAATGGTATCGTTCGTACGAATATGACCAATCCTATTAAATCGACCCTTTATCAAGCCCCTTTTATATTGAACTGTGCAATGGCTATGATAACTAAGATGCTGTTTCACCCAAGTTGGATTTCTAAAAATGTATCGCCCTATTGAAACATCTCTTCTACTTATAAATATATTTAAGAAATGAAGCTGGTTATCGTCTTCATTTCCTCTTATGCTTCCATTCGTCTAGTTCACTCTTTAATTTTTCACGTATAAATGTTCTCAATATGTATATATATGATAAGATTGTTCGAAATGTGCTACACTACCACGTAGTTCTGATAATCTTTATATTATTACGCTATCCAAACAGATTTGTTGTTGCATATGATGATAAATGCAGTTCACTAGTTTACCTCCTATAGAAAGTTACACTATGTGATGATGTTATCATTTATTACCCTGATACAACAATGTCTTGTACAAATAAAGGTAATCATGAACAAATTTAATTAATCATAAGAGACCTTTTTAACGCTAATAAAGAATTTATTACATTGTCTACTATTTACATACACTGCTCAATTCGTCTTACAAGGTCATATTGTAGACAAAATGATGTAAGTAGAGAAAAAAGGTGGTGTTCCGGGCAAATTGGTAATAGAAAAAATTATATATGGCACAAAAAGCTACATGAATACAATACATAGTATGCTAAGTTAAGATCATTGTACTTTTTGTATGTGCGTTTGTTCACAGTATCTTTAGATATGTATGTATCAATGAAGTTTCTGTGTATAGTGTGTCCACTTTGTTTTATTAATTAATTAGCGTCATCGTGTAAACGATGGTTTCCTACATCTTTTTTCATCATTTATATAATTATTATTATCACTTCTGAGTTCATTTGTTTTGGGTTGATTTCTTTAGGGCTTTCTCAATGAGTTTGTAATTAGTATTATTCACACTATTACTATTATTGTTATTTTGTTCAACAGTAAAATTCAACTTCGAATGATTATCTTCTTTCATCGTTGTTGTTGTTGTAGACTGTGGAAATCTGGCACTTCTTAATGGTTTAACATTTATAGTTTTTGATTTCAGTGATGGTTGTAGTGTCAATGTTGAGAAAGGAGGCAAAGATGAATGAATAGATAAACTATTCACATTATTGTTCACTTCCGTATTATCTTTATTTAACTCAATATCCGTTAATATTTTATTAACATTCGATTTGATTAATTTTGATTTGTCGTTTAAAATGAATGGTGGAGGTGGCGGCGGTGGTGGTAATGGCAGTTCATAATCTAGTGGCCAATATTTGTCAGATTTTTTGTTTTTATTCAACTCTGATCCTCTTGTAGAATTATTGTTTTTACTTTTATTGTTAGTTTTGTTATCGGAAAATGTTTGAATGCTGTATGTATTATCCCCTGTTATTTTAAGCTTTTGATGTCTTGGTGGTCGTATTGGTCTATTATTATTATCATTATTATTATTATTATTATTATTATTATTATCATTACTATCAATAATATTATTATTAGTCCCAGTTAGTTGATTACTACAAGCAGGATGTGGTAGTGTGCTAGTACTATTATTATCAATAGTATTCCAAGTGTTTGTAGGTGGCGGTTTTACTGAAGCAATCGGAGGTTGTTGTTGTTGCGGCGTTGAATTGAATGGATTCATTAATATCATATTGGGATAATTTATCGGCTCAATATGTATCAAGTCAGTGACATATTCGTCAATTGGTGATTTTTTAGTTATCGGTTTCATTTGATTACTGACTGATTCCCTTGTTGTCTCATTGGATGACAAAATTATTGACTTATTATCAATGTACTTATCATGGTACATTGGTAGATAATCTGTATGTTGTTTGATATGCTCTGGTTCTATGAATGGTGTAGCATATTCAGGCTCTTTAGGTAATAAGAAAAAAGGTTTTGGCAATTCAGGACCTAGAAATTTCACATCACTTTCACTGTGTACTTGTCGTGGTTCCTGTTGTGTTGGTGTTGATAGTGGATGACTCTCTCTCTTTGACATTCGATCACGTTTCAACCATTTACATGTTTGTTCAATTTTACGTCGACTTGCAGACAACCAGTTATTTCTTAAGTTTATATTACTCTTCTCATTATTCTCTAGTCTAGCTCGTGCTGAAACTATTAATCTAGTTCTTCTAAATACACCTTTTAAGCTTGCTCTACTACTTGTTATTATGGATTTTCCAGCCTTTATACTTGCAAAATCACTATTATCTAGACTCTTGTCTCTCCATGGTAGGGCACTACGACGAATGCTACCAGTCGATACAGGAGAACGTTTCTTTTTCGTATCATAATGTCTTAATAAATTAATTGGCGCTTCTGTCGGTTGTTGCATTGATTGCTCTTCCATCTTCTTCTTGGCTAATTGTTTAGCGCTTCTTCGTAGATTAAATGGAATCATTCCGGTTGATGAATGCGTTGGTAATTCAATCCTTGTATTCTGATATAAATCTCCTATACTTCTACTTTTACGTGGTGCAGGTAACGGTGGCAGTAGAGCATCAGGTGGCTGTCTAAGTGCTCTCACTGACTGATTATTATCAATCTGTAAAAGAGTTTGAACACTTGCACTCGCCTGTAAAGGTTTTCCATGTATATAAGTGCTTCTCTGACTATTCCGTGCCCGCAGATGAGAATTAACTAATAAATCTGGTTGACTATGTTTTCTTACCTGTAAAATTGATTTTTTCTCATCATCGGAGTATTCTGAAGCACGATTCGATTCAACAATATGAGATCTTTTTCTTTCTCGGTTTTTCTGTGTTTTACTCTTAAATATAGATTCCTTATCGGTATCATTAATGTTGATAATTCGATTCAACGATTGTGTTTCTAAATCAGTAATACTTTGATTATTCAAATGTTGTACATTATTTGCATGATTTGCAAAAATACTGTTTTGTGTTTCATTACTATCTTCCCTTCTATGTGATTTTGGTCTCATTAATTGGTGACCAGTTTCATTTGTTTTTGAAATACAAGGTAAATGTTTCATTGTGCAACCACAAAATGAACATTGTTGTCGTCTATTATTTGTGCAATTACTACATGATGTAAATAAATTACAACTGGATGATAAAGAATAACATTCAAATTTTTTAAGTGATTCACTTACTTTATTTAATCGTTTATTAATGAGTTTTCTATGTTTGACGGATGATGATATCATGTATTTGTGATGTGTATTTCGTTTTAATCGTATACATAACCAAATAATAATGATAATGCTGATGATTATAAAACATAACGCAGCTATTCCAGCTAAAATAATTAAAGTGTATGCTTCATTCGATATTGTTGTTGTATTCTCCAGTATAATTGATGGGCTATTGTATAATGTACTTCCAACTCCACCACTAAGTATCATATCTTGTCGTGTTTGTAAAATTTCTTCTAAATTAGGACTTTGTGTTTTATTCAATTTCCAGCATGGTTTTAATATCTCTAACGATTTCATATCTTTACCATAAATATCTGGTCTAATTTTACAA